CGCTCTTCCCCTGCGCCTGAGCCCATCCGTGCTGGCAGCCCCTGCCATGTTGGGGAGCCGGGGGGACAAGGGGAGGAGGGGGGAATGGTCCTCCGTACCGCACGCATCGGGCAGCACTTAGCCTTGATGTCTTTCAGGTGCATTTATTTAACCAGACGGAGCAAGCTGCAGCAGTACAAGTCAGCAGACTTGTAGTGAAGTAGTCGACCCGCTGTCTGCGGGAGTGCAGTTTTGTAGCTTACCTGGGATGCTCCCTCAGCTCTGTTTCTGGTGTCTAGCAGGCATGGCTGATGGGGGAGAAGCTGGGATCCCCTCAGGAGGCTTGTGGCTCCACTGGGCTCCTTGTTAGAGTAGCGACAAGGGTTTTGGGGGGAATTTTTTTTCCCCCTATCGCTGATGGGTTAGCAGTGAGTAGCCAGGCCAGGCTGGGAACTCGGCCCTTGTGCAGCAGCCTGGTGGGGAGCAGCGGCTGCAGCCTCTCTTGGTTGGGGGCTTGGTGCAGAGATTGCTCACCCTTTTCATAGAATCATAGAATCATAGAATCATTAAAGGTTGGAAGAGACCTCCAAGATCATCGAGTCCAACCATCAACCCAACACCACCATGCCCACTAAACCATGTCCCTAAGCGCCTTCCCTGCCCTGTCAGGAGTACAATCGCAGTGGGCAGGCAGATGACGTTGGCCACGCTTACCCCCCTTTTCCTGCACACCGATAATGATCCTCATTCCCGCCTAGCCAAAAGCCATCAAGAGGCTGTGTGTGGGCAGCCCTCCTGGCCAAGCCGGCACAGGGTCAGGAGGGGCTCTGTTCTGGAGAGACACTGAGGCACAGGGACACTGCTGGGAATGGCCTTTCGGCAAGGCTCCTTCAGGGCACGATGCTCAGTGAAGGGAGCTCCTGGGGTGGGGGGGTTAGGGGAGGTGCCCTTTTTGCTGGTGCAGCCGTGCTGGGAAGCTGGAGGAGGCGACCTGAGCGCATTGCAGCCACCCGGGACGTGGGGACCTGGGGAACACTGCCGCGCTTTTGGTTTTTCAGCTTTTGTGGGTTTTGCACCAACCCTTTGTGTCCAGTTTACAGTTTTGGCAAGACGGCTCCCGGCATGGACATCAGCCCCAGTGCTTCCTGGGGAGCAGATGGGACATGGTCTGTGCCCTGGCTGCCACAAAGCCCGGCTCCTATTTGGCCAAGAACACCACCCAGGGAAGGCCGGTGCCTTCTGGGCATTTAATTTTCCCTGTGATGCCAGCCACGAAGAATAACACTCACCCAGCTCACTCGACAAGAGAAAGTGGGGACTTCTCCCTGCTGGCCCCAGCAGCATCCTCTCCTTACACTCCTGCTCGGCCGCCCCCCAGCCCCTGCCTCTTGTCCCCCCAGCCCCATTTTGGCCAGAGGAGAGCAGATGAGCACCCATGCCAGTCCCACCAGCCCTGCCGTGGGGTAGCCCCCATCTTGGCCGGGATCCCAGAGAGCGGGTGGCCGCTCTTGCAGTGCCATTACCCGGACGGTGCGGCCGGAGCAGGGATCGCCGGGGCGGTGTGGGAGCAGGCAGGAGGTGATGCTGTCACCTTTCCGTGCCTCTTCCTGACTTTGTAATCCCGGGGACCTTTGTGTGGATCCCATTTTTATCTGTGTTTTCTCCCTCTCTGTCTTTCTCTCCTTCTCTCTCGCTTTCTTCTCTCCCCCTCCCGTCAGTATGTGGGCTGATCACTGCTCAAACTTTTAATTCAGATGGTAATTGGAATAATAATATGGGCAGAATCCTTCTGGCTCCGTTGCTGCAGCTGGCTTCAGGGAGCTATGAATAGCTCTGAGTCACACACTGAGATGGTTTAACTTCAAATCATTTTGTTTTGTTTTCATATTACCCATCCCCAGGCTCCAGGGCTTCACAAGGGGAGAAAAAAATCCCCCCCTCTCACTCCACCCCAAAATATAAACCGGGCAGAGGCACGTTAATAAAATCCTCTTTTGGAGAGAGAAACTGGTCAGCAGATCGTGCCTTGCGGGGCAGATGGGGACTGTTGGCACTTACTTGATCTATTTATAATTATTGAACGAAAAGGCAGAAGTGTGTATATAAAAATGGTATAGAGTTGATTACAGCTTCCTCCCCTCACCTTCCATATGTCACTTGCCTTTTTAATATGGTAAAACTCTCCCGCACGGTGACTGTGCCTTCGCGTGTGCTCGTACAGCGCCTAGCACCCAGCCCTGCCGGCACAGAGGAGCGAGAGCTCAGCCACTGCCTCTTGTGGCAAGACAGCCCCACGGCATCGAGCTGCCCTACGAGCCCCGGCATGAACCTCGGGAATATTTGTGAGGAAGAGGAGAAGAGATGGAATTACAAAGAGGATGGAGAGGACAAACCAAATGCCGCGAGTCTGCGAGGCTCTGCAAAAAGCCAAAGGGGTCTCCTCTCTGCTGCGGGTGTTTCCACCCTGACTCCCCAAGAGGCGAGAAGACGTCTGCCGTGTTGTCACCGTGCCCGAGCCGGCAGGATGGGTCTGTGGATGCTGATCTCAAAACCAGACCATGCTACACAGCCGGTAAAAGGAATAAAGGCACGAGGCGCAGCACAACCAGCGGCTGCGGTATTGACCACAGACAGGAGGAAAGCATTTGCCAGACGACTCCAGATAAAGCAAAGACTAAGAGTGTAAAAATACCCTGGGATTTTTCCATCGTTGTCGTTCACGGTGTACGTCCCAGAGCACCAGATACGGTTGTTATAAAAAGAGAAGTGGGGGAGTGCTTCAGCATGGACTTTTCTGTTCTGTTTCATGAGACTCTTCCACCACAAATATAAGGAAGGATTGACAAATATGATCTGCTCTGGCAGGGGCTGGAGAAAGCCTGGGATGTGCGAGGTGATGCACCGTGGACTGGGATGGAGCAATGGAGGCATTGCATCAGCACCACACGCCCTGATGTTATTATTAGCGCGCAGATCCCTTGGAAAGCGATGGCAGCAGCCTGGCCCCATGCGTCTGCTCGGGGTCAGAGCAGCGCCGGGGTGGCAGCGTGGGCTGGTACAATGGCTTGTGCCACCGGAGTGTGGTGTCACCCGGGAAGGTGGGGATGACTGCAGCATGGCGGCGGTGTCCCTGGCATTGCTCAATCTAGGGCGCAGGAGGGGGAAAGTGGTTGGGAAGGAGGGAAAGGCAGCCCAGGCTGCAGGGCTGGAGGGGGCTATTGGCCCCTGGAGACCCACCTGGCTGACAGCTTCAACGCTGCAAGACAGGGGCTGCGATGCCCACGCTGCAGCGGCTTCCTAAAGCACTGGGGGGCTTCCTCAGGCCATGAAATATGTGGGTGTTCATGTATGCTGGGGACAGGAGGGATGAAGAGGCATCTTTCAGGACTGCAGTCTCCTGCCTAGCATCTCCCAGGGTGCCCCATGCTGCACCCACTGGTGGGGTTTCATCCCACTCCCCAGGAGTCACCACTGACTCCCCAGCTTCCTCGGTGCACATGTGGATCCCAGGAGGCAGAGCAAACTCCAAGAAAGGTCCTTGGGCATGCTCCGGGATTTGCACCTCTGTCCTCGGCCAGGCTTTCCTCCCCCTGGTCTGTGCAATAGTCAGCTGCCTGTTCAGGATGGGAATGGTGTCCCCTTTTGCTGGAGGCATCTCTGAGCCTTCCCTCTTCATCCCATTTGTGTTTCAGGTTTTCAAGGAGCAACAGGACCCTTTCACAGCCATTTGAATGGAGTTTGCATAGGGTTCGGGCTCCTGGTATGGCCCCTGGCCTTGCCGAGCTCGCGGCACCCATTTTGCAGGCAGGGATGTCAGCCGTGGCCCTGGGCCACCAGCTGCTGAGGAGGGAGGGTGGCTACATCACCTCCCGGCATGGCATCTCCGGGGGGCTAACGTGAACACCAGCCCAATGTGATGGCAGTCCCCAGCCCAGGGCTTCTCGCCTGCCTGTCTGTCTTTCCCATGGCGGCACCGCGCACTGTGGGGGTGTGTTGGGGTGGAAGTGGTAAGTGGGTTTATTTTCGTTTGTCTCCTGGCTCATGCTGCTCCGAGTTTGTGGTACCCGGTATTACTAACGCTTCCCTGCGCCAGCTGGCAGCCGGGGATGAATCAGATCGGCAGCACCATAGCGTGGACCCCTCGCCGGGCGGCCAGCTTGGGGCGATGCCTCTGGCCAAAGCGCTGGTGATGTCTCCTGCCTCTGCCCGGGGTGAGCTTTGGCACCAAAACGCCAGTGGCTTGATCTCGCTGCCCGAGATCTCTTGGTCTCATCTCCCCCAGCTGCAGCTAACCTGCGGTAGCCTGCGGGGCAGGGTTGTCCCCTCTGCCCCATGCTGCCTGCCTGGGGCTGGCCGGTCCCTGTCCCTAATGCACGCCACAGGCCTCAGGTGGCTTCATGAGCTCCTCTCTGCCCACTGGCAGCACCCCTGAGCTGGGGTCGGCTCTGTGGCCATGGGGACCCTGCTCAACCCCCTGCTGCCAAAAAAGCACTTTTGCAGTTGATCAGTTCCTCTCCCTTCTGGGCATGACCTCACAGCAGGAAGTGAAGTCACACGATGACATCACAGACCTTGGTGATTCCTGTTCTCCCCATAGCAAAGACACAGAGATGCCTGGTCCTCCCCTCCACTCCCTCCCGAACACCCTGGTGATCTAAATGGAGGGATTTCAGTGACTGCCTCTTCCCCCACGAGCGTCGCTGAGACTGCAGAAGTTGGCACACTGCTTGTCAGTGTCACCTGCCTGCGTGACCCAGGCTCCAGGAGGATAATTTGGATCCTCCTGCTTGCTGCAGCCCAAAGCATCCTGAAAAATGTCATGGCTGCTTGGCATCTCTGGGATAATGGAGAGGGTCTGCCCAGAATCTCAAGGCTTGGAAGATGATGATGATGATGATGACAACGACGACGAATTCAGCTACCCCTGCCACTCCACACGTACTCCACCCCAGTGCAAGAGCCATGACAGCTCGGGTGACAGTCAGGTGGAGGATCTGGGGGAACCCATCCCATTTTCCCTAAATCCCAGGCACTCTTACACGGTGAAAGCCGAAGGAGTGAAAAATAGAATATATGCCAAGACGTTGGCCAAGCATGCACTGGAGCTTGAGGAGGAAGCTCAGGAGTTTCAGGAAGCATTTTACAAAGACACAGAAATGCGTGGCAGCTTGTCTGAAGATGAGGACCGCAGCTGGACCAGGACCTATCGCCTTCCTGTGCATCAAAGGTTGCATGTCTCCCGAGCTGCCAGTACAGCACCGTGCAGCCCCTATGACTCTTTCCAGTCTAGCGCGGACAAGCACTTGGGGATGGACGCGTTTGCCCCATGGGCCCACACCAGTGACCCTTATCTGGGATACCCAGAGTGCACCAGGGGAGCAGAGCCCCACATGCTGCACGAGGAGGCCATAGGGGACAGGGAGTTCCCGTCCCTGCAGCTGACCTACGATGTGCTCAGGGAGGAGAACGCCATGCTCAGGAGGGTGGTCAGGAGCATGCAGAGTTCCTGGGAGAGCCAGGCGTGCACGGTGCGGAGGCTGGAGAGGCAGCTGAAGGCCAGCCTGGCCAAAGAGAAGAGGGAAGCCCAAGAGCTACAGTCCTTTGTCCAGCGGACTGAGTGGAGTCTCCAGCTAATGACCCAGCGGGCTCTGGAGGCAGAAAGCAATGTGGAGAAGCTGAAGCAGGAGATCTTTATTCTCCAGGGAGAGCTGGAGAGCTCCAAGGTGGAGAACGAAAACCTGAAAGCGGGCCAAACAACTGACCTGGGGGCAGTGAAGCACAACATAGACTTTGCCTTGCAGAACCTCCACAAGATAATAACGAGTGCAAACTGGTCCATCAGACAGCTCACCTCTGGAGCAGAGTCGCTGCATTTTGTTGCTGAGGTCCTTAAATCTACCGGCAAAATTTCTGAAGTTGAAGCAGAAAAAGAGCTATGAACTCAATTCTGTGTGGGTCCTACGGATAAGTGTATGAATTGAGACCACGGGTCTCCCACTACAGCCTATACTAAAACCATTTGCTCTCACATGCTCAAATGTGTGTGTTCAGATTTGTAGCCTTTATTCTTCATGGAAATACTTTTCTTGTGATTAAGTACAAATTGCAGGTAGTGATGTAGTTTTAGCTGCTGACGCTCTGTTCTGGCACTGCAGAGCCAGCAGCAAACGTTTCCCAGGCTCTGAGCTCCAACGTCCAGCCGTGGTGGGCTCTGTGCAAGAGGTCATGCCACAGCTCCGGCTGACTTGAGCTCCTATGTGGGAGCCAGGGAGGAAGCACAGCAGCACGGGATGCAGCGTTCTTAAACAGTGTGCCCATCCCTTCCCATAGCTGTACCAGCCAGAACTGGAGATGAGCGCAGCCTGCACAGGTACCTGCATTTCATCTCCTTCCTTTGCCCATTCTCGGTGAGGTGGGGAAGGTTAGGAGCAGAGATCCAGGTGCTGCTGCACATAATTTCAGTGGGCAGAAGCTCTTTAGGTCCTCCTTCCTCTTATTTTGGAGGTGGCCACCACCTGGGCCAGAAATCCGAAGTCTGGAAATTGTGCACCCATTCCTGCAGCTGGGGAAAGGGTTGGTAGTGGTGTTCAGAAACTTTTAGGAAGTTGGGAAGTATCCATACATGAGCTGTGGCAGTGCCTTTCCTCCGTTATCAGTGTCGGTGCTGGCTAAGGGTGAGCTTGGCTTATCCGGGATGGCTAAGGAAGGCGCTGGTTGGAGAGGATGCCCTTCCTCTCCTGGCTGGAGCTGGCATAGAGGGGTATACCTAAATTGCCCGCTTTTGTCACCTCCTCAAGACCTGTGGGACCTTGCAGTGCAAACTCACCATGTAATCACTGAAGATACATCTTAGTTTTATCCTAGTGGGACCACCTGTAGGCATGAAGTGACCTTTCTTTGTCACCTGGTCATCCCTCAACATTTCTGATTCATTTAGGTTACCAACCCCAGTTTCTGCTGTAGGTTTACCCAGCTGCACAACAAAATTTCCTGTATCTGGCCAAACCGACCCTCCTTGAAGACTTGGATGCTGTAGGGCAATGGCGGGGGGTGTGTGCTGGCAGAGTTCAGTGCCAAAGTGCTTTTTCCTGATGGGAATTTTTAGGCAGCTGTTAACTTTTACCTCTGTACGGTGAGTTGTGGACTACAAGGTTGCTGTCTTCTCCTGGTCCCATAATATCCCTGGTCTGAACAACCATGTTTGTGTTGCCACAGGGATTAAACTGCCTCAGTAACCTTGATCTCTGGAGGAGAGTCTGCTGGTTAATCTTCATCCCAGACATGGCAATGGCAGTGCTTGCACTTCAGAGGTGATGTCTGGAGCTCCTTACTTGCTGCTTTCTAGTCTGTGCTCCTAACTGGGGAAAGCTGCTGGTCACCCTTAGCCACATGAAGCCCCGTTCTGCAACACTGATGATGAAAAAAGGGTGGTTCTCACCAGTTTTTCTGTCCCTGACAATGTCACTTGCTGTTCCTCTCTCCTGTCCATGCATGACCACTTGCAAGCAGCTCTAAACCTTGGATTTGACCCAGAAATCCTTGTATTTGTCCCAGATATGGCAACCACTGGTTGCTCGTTGGTGAGGCTGGGAGAAAATGAGCTATCTGGCTGTGTCTGCGTCCTGCGCTCAGCACTGGCTGCTGTAATCCACAGGTTACAGTGCAGGATTAGCATGGGTGTACAAAGCCCTACCTAATCTGTGAGTCATTACCACCTCACTGCATTTCACTTCCCAGCAGCTCTGGGCAGGTGGGATAGGTTGGCTCTTGAGTCTTTGGTTTCCCCATTCTTCAGTTTGTGGAGGACCGGGTTGGGACATAACATCTGCTGGACACCCTCCCCAGGGCTCTGCCGCTGAGCTGCTCCTTGGATGCTGCATGCAGGGCATGTCACAAGGTCTGTTTGTTCTAACTGGCTGTGCTGGTTTTAGCTGGGATAGAGTTAATTTTCTTCGTAGTAGCTAGCATGGGGCTATGTTTTGGATTTGTGCTGGAAACAGTGTTGATACCACAGGGGTGTTTTTGTTATTGCTGAGCAGTGCTTACACAGAGCCAAGGCCTTTTCTGCTTCTCACACCACCCCACCAGCGAGTGGGCTGGGGGTGCACAAGAAGCTGGGAGGGGACACAGCTGGGACAGCTGACCCCAGCTGACCACAGGGATATCCCATACCATATGACGTCATGCTCAGCATATAAAGCTGGGGGAAGAAGAAGGAAGGGGAGAACGTTCAGAGTTATGGCATTTGTCTTTCCAAGTAACCATTACGCATGATGGAGCCCTGCTTTCCTGGAGATGGCTGAACACCTGCCTGATGACGGGAAGTAGTGAATGAATTCCTTGTTTTGCTTTGCTTGCGTGCACCGCTTTTGCTTTACTTATTAAACTGTCTTTATCTCAACCCACGAGTTTTCTCACTTTTACTCTTCTGATTCTCTCCCCCATCCCACCAGGGGGGAGTGAGCGAGCGGCTTAGCTGCTGGCTGGGGTTAAACCACGACACCGGCTTCTCCTTGCCTACTCCTAAGCTCTTCCTTTCCATCAGTGCTCCCTTTTGGCTCTACCCATCGCTCTTCTTCTCCTCTTCGAAATGCGGGGGAATGTTCTGCACCCCCTGGAAATAAATCCCCTCTGGGTCAGGCTGGGCTGATGGGGACCCCTGAGGGCTGCCGTGCATGTCCGTGCTTCGTTAGTCCTTGTGTGCGAGGTTTTTAGCCTGGCTGAGCTCTCGTCCTAGTGTAAGCTGATATTAATATAATGGCTCAGGGCAAGGGCCCTGCAAGCTGCTCAGTCGTTGTGCCCTTGATCTGGAGAGCGGTGACTGTCTGGCCCTGCACCTCTCCTGGTGGTAGATGCCAGGGAACGCGGGGGCTGTGGGCCATGCAATCCGGTCTGCATCCATCAGCTCCTCACCTGCCCGAGCCAGGCTGTGGCACAGTGCCCTGTGGACACCTCCAGACCCCTCCTGAGAAAAAGGCTAGGAGCCCTGCACCACCTGCTCTGGGACTGGGATGGGTGCTGTCAGGGGAGGCTCTGACCGGGTTTTGCTTCGTCCTTCTCTGCAAGGCGCGTGCCCAGGAGCAATCCCAATGGCAGCACGGGTCCCAGCTCACCAGAGGTGAAACCCGGAGCAGCCCAGTCCCATGTGAGTGCTGCTGCATGAGATCCCGTGCCCTCCCAGCTCCTGCGGCCCCCTGACACCTGATGATACAGCGAGCCATGGGCAGCGTCCGAGTCAACCGGTGAGTAACCCCCTTCTCAAGGACTGCTGCTGCCCAGGGTGGCCTGGTCCTCCTCATCTGGCCCGTCAGGCCGTACCTTCATCCTGTCTTTCAGTATATTCTTCTCAAATTATCTGCCAGGGGCTTTCCTGCTCCAAAGTATGGCTCCTCTCTCCTTCTCCAATCCAAGACACACCATACATGGGGGCAGTGCTCAGAGGAGGAGTGCTACAGAGGAGAAGCAAAGTGTTGCGTGGTGCTGGACCAGAAATTACAGATTCCAGCAGTGCTGCAGAAGCCCCCTGTCCCCAGGGGTCACAACTCCAGCCATGTGTGCTTCCCTTGCTCCCTTTTCCCACGAGAGGAGGATGAGGGTCATGGAGCCCATGTTGGAGGGCTCCAGCTGACACATCAACACTATGGGGTGGGAGGGAGGCACTGGCAGCCCAACAGGTCCTGGGAAGCCAGGGCTCGATGGTCACAAGGGCAGAGTGGTCTTGGTGGGTCTGTGCACTCCCTTAATTTCCTCAGTGGTCAGAGCATCTTCTACCATCACATCTTTAAGGAGTATCTGCAACCGTAGACCCAGCAGCACACAAGGGGCAGTGGCGGTGCTGCCTGTGAGGGAGGGGAGCCGGAGGGGCAAATGTCTCCCAGGAAGTGTGTGTGGAGCTTCTCACAGGGAAATCTGCCAGCACTTTGGCTGTTGATCTCCAAATTACACCTTTGGCTTCGGATGTGGGATGCTGGGAGCCACACATGTTGCTGTGGCAACAGAATTGTCCTGAGCACAGGAAGTGTATAAACATTGTCACCGACGCACCATGAAATCAGTGAGGAGAGCAGAGGAGAAAATAGAAACTCCCGGCCTTATATAATGTCAGGGCCAAAATGTGGCCAGACCACGGGCGCTTGCTCCCAGGCTTCCTAACTGTCCCAGCCGCCATCAGGTTTCAAAGCCTTGGGTCCCTCCTCACCACAAAGGCTGGAAGGAAGCACAGTGCTACAAGCTTCTCCTGCTTTGCTGCCCTGTCAGGACTTCGCTAGATACAACCTCCTGGCAGCAAGACTCGGCAAATATGGCAGCTGAGCTCCACCAGTTTGGTCAATGTGGCACCACGGTGCAATAACCAGGGAAACAAGCTGTTGTGAACTTCAACGCCACGCTGATGTAGCCCTGTGAGCCACCCACATGTCTCCCACCCTTGCTGTCTTTGTGGTGGTTGTTGTTCTTCACGTGTTTTTGCTGGAAATGCCTGTTTCTTCTCTTTCAGGTACAGCATCGTCTCGACTGAAGAGGATGGACACAAGGTCTCCACGCTGGGCAGCATGAACGGGCACAGCCGGAATGGGAAGGGCCATGCCCCCCGGCGGAAGCACCGCAACCGCTTTGTGAAGAAGAACGGCCAGTGCAATGTCTACTTTGCCAACCTGAGCAACAAGTCTCAGCGCTACATGGCCGACATCTTCACCACCTGTGTGGACACGCGCTGGCGGTACATGCTTATGATCTTCTCCGCCGCCTTCCTGGTCTCCTGGCTCTTCTTTGGCTTCCTCTTCTGGTGCATTGCTTTCTTCCATGGCGACCTCAATGCACCGGCGGTGGGAGGCAGTCCCTCTCTCCTCAAACCCTGCATCATGCATGTGAACAGCTTCCTAGGGGCTTTTCTTTTCTCAGTGGAGACACAGACAACCATTGGGTATGGCTTCCGCTGCGT